ATTAGAATATTATTATTTTATTCTGGTGTTTGTTTCCACGTAAAAAAATTATTTACTTTTTTACCTGGTACCAAGAAGTACAACAGCTTAGAAAGAGATAATAATCATTTATTTACTAATCATATTAAATTAACCTGTATTACACTTTAAAAACAGCTCAAATTAATTCGAAGTTTTTGAGACTTTGCCATTTAATTATATTTATAAATGTACTATTATAATAATGCTTTGTAAGCTTCCCTAGATGAGGGAATTACCCTAAGTCAATAAATTTGAATATTTGTTTTGTTTTGTTTTTTTTGAGAATATTTGGGAATATCTGTTAATTAGATTTATTAGAAAATTGTAATTTAATAATTAAAAATAATACAGTTAAATATCATCAATTGTAACTTAAACATTAATTTTCTTTATGAGTTTAATTATTATTAAAAACATTACTTAAAAATGTAATCTATTGTGTTTGTAAGTCTATATGAAACAGAGTCAGATCTTACTTATGATCGTCAAATCAACTCTAAAAGTGATTTTTCAAGTTATTGCTTGTGGAAAAGCGCCCAGAGAGCTTTTAATAAAGATGTTTATAAGGAATTTAGCAAAAATCCATCTATTTTTTGTCAACAACTAACGAGTTCAAAAGTCATAAGAGAAACGCCAATAACTATATTAAATTAGACATTTGGCACAAATGTTTCCTAGAAAAGTATTCAGATCTCACCAAGCCTCTCATTTTCACTCCTGGTTTTATTCCAAACTACAGATCTACGATTCAGGATTTGATCTTCGACCTCGACGCCTATACAACAGTCCTTGACAAGATGAAAGATAAAACTACTCAAGGAAATGATCTCATTCTTACCGCTTCTGCTTAAATTGGCTTTATTACACTTCCATAACAAACTACTAAAATATATTTAACGGTTTCTTTCAAACTAGATTCGTATCTCTCATCTAAAACGTCGCCAATTTCGTACGATTATAAGCAATATAATTCTCTGAATCCAAAGAATTTTAGTTTAGTTGCTCTTCCCTCCAATCTGCGCAAACTATTTACTATTAGCATTAAAATTTAAAGAATAGATGAAAAACATCTGGAAGAGGAACAGTTGAGACTCAACATGTGTTTAATACGCTTGTAGAATCTTAATTTTTAACAAAACAGTAGAACCATGTTTTCCTTGATCTGCAAATCCTATTCGACTCAATTCTTATCAAGCTCCTGTTATATAAATTCCATGCTTAACATTAATACTAAGTTAAAATTTATAAATATAGTTCAAAACTTATTTTCTAATCTCAGAACAGTCGTAACTCCCCCAAAAAGGAACCAAAACTTTCTAAACTTTACCAACTCCTCCAAAGTGACCACATCAGTGCATATTAATTCATCTTTACTAACAATATCTTTAGTATTTAATGATTATAAACATGGAGGACACGAGCACCCATCTACTAGTCTATGTTGATGATCTTGTCATCCTTTCATCCTGTCGGATTTCTTTATAACACTATGCTGTAATAAAAACAATCTTCAAATAAATACCGAGTAAACAAAATTTCTCTTTTTCAGAAGAAATGGCAAACTTTTCAAACAAGAATCTTTTGCATTATATAATAAGCAGATCGAAGCTGTTCCATATTTCGAATTTCTCAGGATACTTTTTCAGCAGTTCCTAACTTCAAACATTATTTCCGGAGAAAACTGCACCATTTGTTGGTCATGATATCTAATCTGCTTTCCATACTATTTACGACAAAAAATATAAACGTCTGTACACAGTTGAAATTGTCTAATACCACTACAGTTAACTATTCAGATATGCTTTACCTATTCAAATTCCTACACTACTATTTGATAGTAAAAGCCTTCAAAGCATCCCTATATCTCACTTATTTCAAGATATGTCTTACTACTAGAAACAGGACATACTAAACTCCACCCTTTATTTCTGAAATACTTATTGGATTTCATCAGGAAAATTTTTAGCCAGCCTAACGGTATCTCGTATAAAGATCAGAACCACTTAAGAAGCTTAGACTCTACAAATCCTATTTTCAACAACTGGTGTACATCGACGTAGGAATTACTCAATCTTTTCTCGTGTAAGCCCAACTATAGAATCCATTAAGGTTGTAGACGATTCAAGTGTCAAAACTGCAATATCGATAAAAGAAGACAAAGATGCTCTCAATAGTATCCTTCATCTTCGCTGCTGATATTCCTCAACACCACTCTCAACGCCAATTGCCAAAGATTCTACATATAAATTACGACTAGACTCATTTTACCTTAGATATTCTTCTGAAGTATTGTCACTATACAATAATCAATATAATTCCAACTGCAAATTAGAACCTTGTAGTCTTTCACAACTTCATCGAATGTGTCAATTCTCAGTGTCTGTCGAGCAAACATTACCTGAACATTCCAATAAAGTTTCCGAATATCTTTCGTACTATTTTCCAAAATACCCAGTTTATTCGGAAAATTACATTACTCGAAATATTCAAGACTATTTAAAAAATGTCTATAATTAAGATGCATCAATGAGTTCAATGTTTAAGCCATTTTATTCTTGTTCGTGTAACAAATTACATTCTGCTATCCTTCCTTAATCTCGTGAACAGAGTTAGATAGACGAAAATCGAGACCAGATATGGGAAAACTTGAGGGCAGGAGGCCCGATTAACTATATACGAATTTCCATGTCTGACCGGATGTCACGTGATTTTAATATAATGTTTACTCAGAACGGAATTAGATAAGTGACCGGCATGATTCTATTGTTATGAGGAAAAGTATGACGTACAGAAGCAAGACACTATTAAAATCGAAACCATACATTTTGATTTAAATAAATTAAAAATTGTAGCCCGGCATTGTGACGATGTCACAATATTTTTTCTCGTTTTTAACTGCCTTATCTTTAATTACCAATTTAAACTGTATCTCTCCTTCAACGGAGTTCATCCTAAATGTTTAATAAAGCACACTCTTCTATTCTATATATTGTGTAATTTTATANAAATTCATGTAAGGATATGGAATTTTTAAATATCTGGGATAAGGTCTGTAAAGTTTAATGTTATCTCAAATTTCTACAGATACAAACTGTGTGTGTTTGTTTTGATATATGTTTTATCGTCCTTCGTTTTAAATTAAAAAATCACGTGATTTCAGGTTCAGACCATAAGTTTGTATATAATAAATTGGGGACCTGGCCATATCTGGTCTCGATTTTCGGCTATCTAACTCCATTCTCGAGATTAAGGAAGGACAGACAGACAGAGACAAACGACAGTGGGGATTTAAAAATATATTTTCAAGTTATTAACTTGTAGAAATAAATGAGAAATGCCACATTTTTTCTTGTTTAGTTACAAATATAAATTAAATTAATAAACTAAATTAATTGTGTTATAACTTATAAGATTTTTCATATTATCAACTGTTATAGTATTTATCTTAATATGTGGATTTATGAATTATGCTCAAGTCAGTTTTATATATTATAAATTTTTTAACCATTTACATAAATTCTACTTAAGGCATTTATTATATTATATATATACACATATAGCTGCAAAAGTGCACACACAATACTTTAACTGGTATTTTTTAGGTAAATTTTTTGAATTTTCACACAATTGCTGAAAAAACTTAAGTAATCGCCAGATAATTAAAAAAATCGTATATTTTTTAGAAAAAAAAGTAAATGAGAATGAGAGAGAGAGAACTTTGTAAGGCATTTATTTTGTAGTAAAACCCAATTATTCACAGATGCTATCTAAATTTGAAATCTCTTGTTAAAGAAATATAGTCGTTTAGGTAATTATCGAATGAAATGAATAATTTAGCTTTGTAAAATGTGAACAATTACAAAATTTTGGTTTTATTTACAGTACTAAAAAGTAAGGAAAACAAATAAAAAACAGTACAAACAAAGGTTTGCTTGATATTAATTTAAATTGATTCCGATAATAGAATTTCATATAGATTTTTTAATGAACTATTTTAAAATTATTAAGTAATTAAATACACTACAGTATATGCAAGTAATTTTTATATAGCCTATAATCATTTAATATAAATTTTAAATAAAAATTTGATTTATCAGTGAGGATTCTAGGTAGAAAAACAAGTTTTCGTCTAGGGCCTCGTGCTTAGAAGGCTTCAGGCATACACAAATATATGCTTATCTAACATCCTAACGTAATCCAGAACTAAGTAAAATCCTGGATTTATACGGACTTAATATTATAAATCTATTTATTCAATTTACAACGTTAATGTATTTAATNTAAATAAACCTCTTTGACAAATCCTTCCATTAAAATATGCATCTCTTATATAAAGGGAGCGTACTTATTGGAAATTTACACACGCTCCAGTTGCTACCTGGTTACAGAGCGGCGTGTCAAACTGACAAAAAAAAAGTATATAATAAAGAAATAAAAAATGAAGTATTCTTTCAGAACAGAACTGGAATAATCTATACTGAGTTATTTTGAGTTACAATATTAACGTACTCGTAATTTCATTAATGGAGTCTCATCACTTTTACATCTGGTGTCAGTTTTTCCCCCTCTGGAACCAAAAAAAGAAGAAAAAAAATGCAATGTGATGGCTGAAAAAGGAAGAAAAGATATTGATTCAAGACTTCAGAGAAACTCCCTTTTTACTATTTTTTTTAAAAAGAAAGTTCTTTGATTATATGAATTTTGTATGCGAAATTTAATAATTTAATGACTAAACAATAATCTATAATAATAATAATAATTAATTTTTAAATTAACAGATGAGAAAAATAATCATAATAATAATATTTTATTCAACACGAGTTTTATAGTAACGTTATAAAATACTTGACATTAATGGTGCAAATGCTACACAAATTAAGAAAATTTATTTTAAAATTCTATTTTAATAACCTGGAGGTATATTAAATGAGTACTAGAGTTAAATAATAATAATAATAATAAAATTTGCTGTAGTAAAATTATAACATAATTCTTGCGGAGATGGAGTTTAAAAAGAAGATTCTTACACATAATTTAAGTAATTTATGTAAATAAGTATAAAATAAATGGTTTAAATTCGTTACATACCTGGATAATATACAATATTTCTCTGATTTTTATAATTTGTTCCCGGTATAAGTAGAACACATTCGAATTCAGTAGGAGCATCGTTTCGTAATTCACGATCTCTAATAATTCGTGACAGTTTGGCAGTATATGCTCCATTTTTCTTACTCGATATGATCTTGGTATCCGATATTAATTGAGAATCGACGTCATTTAATGTATTCCTATATAATAACAAACGAGGGAGTGGATAAACTCCTTCAGCTTCACAAGTAAAATTTGTTAAATCAATTGATGGCCTTGTAAAATTAAATTCAAAATGTTTTGGAGGAGCTGAAATAAAATACAATTTTCAAATGTAATTACTTCATGGATTTGTAATTTATATAATTAAACATATTATTATTATTATTATTAATTATATACGTTTGTTAGTTCGCTGTCATAAGCAATGAATAAAATTATCATTTAATGGATAACTCTTTATAAAGTTTTGATTGCTAATTTGTTAATCTTGAATGTGTTACGTTAAATAAGGATGCATGCTTTGATGAAACCGTACAATAGCTAGTTTAATTATAATATTATACAATAGCTATTGTTATAATTCATAATTATAAGCTTGTGTTATGGTTACGTTTCACGAAAATTGACAGACTGTATACGGTTTGACAGTTTGCATTATGGACTTCACAACTATGTCAATTATAAGACCAAACATACTTCTATGATGGTAAGTACGTTTATATAACTTAATAGTATATTCTATTACTATAACACAATTAACATTAATGTTAAATTTATAAGAATCATCCCGTTAATGATGAATTCTTAAAATGTATATGCTACTTTTTACTAATGTTCATTACAAACTTGTCTGTATAAAACGATAAAACACCTCGACTTGAGGTGTTTTATCGTTTTATACAGACAAGCTATATCCCAGACACCCCACTAAATTGAGTATAACTACTATTGTCCGACTTAAAGAGGTTTTACTATGAAATTAAAGTGTAATATAGTAGAAAAAAGTTTTCACTAGGAAATCTTTTTAATAGCTTTTAAATAAATGAAACCCTCACGTTTGGTTTGAATAAGCTTCATTATTAAAAAAATTATTTTAATATATTACAAAAAAGAACAAAACTTTTCGTATTGTTTTAAATATAATTAATTGCTTGTAAATGTTACGATTTTTTCTAACTGCTCTATATTTATGTATTTTAATCTTTATCTTTTTAAACGTATTTTTAAAAATTCAATAAATTAAACTACTTAATCGAATTATACATAAATTTTACTAAATTAATTAAAGTACATTTACCGTAAACAATCATGACTTGGTCCTCGGAATCTTGTTCTGTTAATGATATCACATGGCAGGAATATCTACCACTGAGTTCAGTCGTAGGACGAATAATGTTGAGTGCTCTATATTTTGTATAGGTGTTGGACGGTGATACTGTATAATCCCAGTTAAGACGTCCTTTTATTCTGGATGATGCATAACGAGCTTTTAATTCCGGTATCCATTGGTATATTGGTTCTGGATCGTCATTTAAGAACCATTTGACGACAATATGAGAATCACTATCCGACAGATCGTACTCACAGTCCAATACAACTGATTCTTCTGTACCATTTTCTACCCATCTTGGCATAGTCAGACGAGTGATTTTTACACCTAAACAGAAAGATAAATTTATTATTGTAAAGGAAAATATATTTCCTAATTATAGTACGGAGTTGAAAACATCTTATTATAGTAATTAGGGAGTACAGAGAGTAGAATTGCATGGTATATGATATGCAGGAAGTAGGAAATATAGAAATCACACACATACACATATACATACACAGACCACAGCACAAAAAAGGAGAGAATATGAAATGAAAAAAGGATGGAGTATAGAATTAGGAAGTGCCAATAAAGCTAAAAATATTCATTATTAGAATAACATTTTATATAAGTATTATTATTTTAATTTAGTATTTATATAAATATAGAAGTCGTTGTCACAACTATCAAATCATTTCACTCATAAGCTCCTTTATCAAGCATATCCTGTATCTTGAATATCATTTTATATAAAGAAAAACAGATGGTATAGATAAATTGCAACTTATAAATTGAAATTTTAAGAATGTAATTGTGAAAATAAGAATAATTGTATAAAAATTGTAAACTAAAAATATAATTGATAGTACGAAATTATATAAAAATGTATTTAGATCGCAATATATGCAAAATTAAACAAAAATTTAGTACTTCTAGACTGTTGTTATATTATTTTGCTGCAATTTTGAAATTGCAGGCCTATACCCCTCAGTGTCGTCTGTCTGCCTGTCCTTCGTTAATCTCGAGCACGGAGTTAGAAAGATGACCACCATGACTCCATTGTTATCGGGAGAAGTATGATGTACTGGGGCAAGACGTAACTAAACTGAAGAATAAATATGGAAAACTTAGGAGTAAAAATACACGCAAGTGCCATACGTGTATAACTCTAAATACAATGATCACCCTAACCAGAGAACATGCATACATAAATCACAGTCTGAACACGACAAAACATGATCTTAGTGTTAATAAATAAAATTAGCAAACTCAATTATGTATTGTACGATTTCTTCGGGGTAGTGTTAACTTTGTTCTACAAACAACAGATCAGTGTTAAGAACAACAATTCAAACTTAAGGATAATTACAGGTATACCTCGCCTTACGTCGGTAATTGGTTCCAGGAGAACGACATAAGTCGAATTTACTTGTCTCTAAATCTACTTGTCACTAGGCTAAACCGTAAATTACCATTCCCGGTTCTGTATTTTATTTATTAATGCATTTTTAATAATATATGGTTAATAAAAATCTATTTTAAGCTTACAAACAAATAAATTTTAGTTTTTAATATAGTACAAAAAAGTAATCTAAATTTACGAATGCATGTACTGTAAATACAGTACATACTTGTATATATTTTAATATGATTCTATGTGCTTAAAACGTTTTTCTAGTGATATTACGACTTCAATATTTGTGGCGGACAGACGTAAAGTCGAATAAAATGACTTAAACTTGATTTTTATTTTTCCATATACTTTTTTTAACAAGCGACGTATAATCGGGAACGACGTAACTCGAAACGACGTAAGTCGAGGTATGCCTGTATATTGTCTAAATTACATGAAGTATCCTTCTGGGTTAACTGGAAATTTGGAAGAAACATCAACTTGAAGAGAGAAAAGAATTATTAATGTATCTTCAAAGGTTGGAGAGAATATCACTTACATAAGGAAAAGTTTTCTTTTTAGTGTTTTAAAAGCTTTTATGTTGTGGGAGTATTCATAATTTTTTTATATTTTGTTGAAAATTTATAGAGGATTCACTGTTAAAATCTGCGCTCTTTCCATCAATACTAATAACTGGACAGAGAATATGACAAGAATTTTAGAAGTACTTTTTATGTCTATCGAGGAGGAGGAAATTGCAATAAAGTTGCTTCCACATTAAAAATTGAATCTAGAATAATATATTTAAATGCAGGTCCGAAATTATAATTAATAAAAAAAATTTAGGAAGTAAAATTTGTAATTTATTTATATTTAATTTATTTAACAAGCAATTTAACTTAACAGTTAATAACTTATATGAAATTATTTCTAATATATATTCTACAAGCATCGATGATTCTTAAAAGACGAATTATTTCCACCTTATGATTTTATTTTAACTAAACATTTCTGTTAACAATTAATTAAGAATTAGTTTTATTCTTATTATCATAATTTAAATATAGTTAAATGAATATTTATCAATAAAATATTCATTAAATAGAAGAAGAATATTTTATTTAAATATAAGAAGCAACTTATAGTTACATAAAATTAAAGAACTATTTATAAGGGCTAATATTATTTATATATTTTATAATATATTAGTTAATGATG